CCTTGTGGGTTTCCTGGTTGTAATTGGACAAGTGACTGCAGAGCATTATGAGAAGGACAAGGCAAAGGAAAGCTGCACAGCTCATGGTAGCCAGGAAAGCTGGGGGCGGGGCTGGCAAGGGGAAAGGGGCCATAGGGAAAAAGATGTACCCTTGCAAGACACTCCCCCAGTGATCCACCTTTCGTGCCCCACCTGCCTACAGTTACCACAGGTTACTCCATTTAAATGAAAATGGACTGATTAGGATACACCTCTGAACAATCCTGAATCATTGGGAGCTTTGGGAGGACACCTCACCTCCAAACTATGACTAGGAGCAAATGCATAGCACAAGTCTGAACAATGACCTTGTGTTGCTTCTGTTTCCTGTAAGGTAACAAAAGAAGGCTTGACTTACTTTTACCTTTCTTGCAGATGGAAAAAGGAGATGATATTAACATTAAACAAGTGTTACTGAATATGAGAAAATATCGAATGGGACTTATTCAGACACCAGATCAACTCAGATTCTCTTACATGGCCATAATAGAAGGAGCAAAGTATATAAAGGGAGATTCAAATATACAGGTAAACTTTTCTTGGGAAAGAATAATATCCGTTTGTTAAATATAGTTGCTATCCGATAACCATTCCAACTAAGCCCTTACCTTGTCCCTTCTAAAAAATATGTTGCAGTTAATGGGGTAAATCCAGCTGGCTGCCTTAAAATTATAAAATTGAAGCTCACTTCCTCATGGATATTCAGCTTTAGGTTAAGTCCTCTGTGTTACTGAAAAACCCTAGTGGGAAACAAGATTTCATTAAAGAAATTGAGCTTTTTTCACGTAAGGAGGATTTAAGCATTTAGTCATTGAAATAAACCAGAAACCTTAAGTATGTTTGCCCCATTAAAAACTTGTTGTGGGGGCTGGGGATGTGGCTCAAGCGGTAGCACGCTCACCTGGCATGCGTGCCGCCCGGGTTCGATCCTCAGCACCACATACAAAGTTGTTGTGTCCACCGAAAACTAGAAAATAAATATTAAAAAATTCTCTCTCTACCTCTCTCTTTAAAAAAAAAAGAAAAAGAAAAAAAAACTTGTTGTGGAAATGTAGAATATTTCACCTGTGCATACTTAACTTTATGACGGTGAACAGCTTGAGTGCCTATTGCAGACACAGTGAAGTACTAATACAATATTACATTTTTTTGGTTAGTGGCATTATTATCCATGAATATATTTTTATTGCACATTTACAAAAGGTAAATTCAATACAATCTATGTTATGTATTATCCATGAATATATTTTTATTGCACATTTACAAAAGGTAGATTCAATACAATCTATGTTATGTATTGAGGCACAATGTAAAATAGGAAACAGAGTAACAAAAGACACCTGTTTCCTGTCTTGTCTAGTAACATAAGTAGATACAGGATGGTAATTGACATCCAAACATCTAAAATCTGAAACTTTTGGGCATTTCCCTTTCTCTCAAAAGTTTTGGATTTGGAGCATTTCATATTTGCACATGAAAGATGCTCAACCAGGAAAGCTCATCAAAATGCTCCCCAGTTCCAAAACTGAATTCTGAAACAGAATTTCTAGTCCCAAGCATTCTGGATGAAGGATACACAGTCTGTGCCTTAAGTCAGTAGATACAAAAGTGACTAGATTCATTTCATCATATTTCTCATATGTGAATATGCTTGTAGGTCTTTAGTTTCTATAATTAATAGCCAGTTCAGAAATAAGCTTCTTTTATAACTTAAATCAAACCATCAGTGTCCTAAAGGACTAAATGAAAGGAATTGAGTATTGTGTAGGTTTCAAAGACAGTAAAATATTCTTAAACTATTCATTTATTAGTAGCGTTTTAAAACTTTTTATTTTTTTAGTTATGCATGACAGTAGGATGTACTTGGATATACGTATATGGAATATAACTTCCAATTTTTCTGATTGTACATGTGGAGTTACATTGGTCATGTATTCATATGAGAACATGGGAAAGTTATGTTAGATTCATTCTAACATTTCAAGTCAAATATTAGTAATTTGTTATTGGTGCATAATACTTATACAGAGTAGTGGATTCTTCTTGATAAGTAAGGCACATGCATCAGTAATATTTCTGAAATTTTATTTAGAATTTTCTTTTTTATTTTTTAGGTCATTAAAAAGCATTAAAGAGGGCTGGGGATGTGGCTCAAGTGGTAGCGCGCTTGCCTGGCATGTGTGGGGCATTGGATTCGATCGTCAGCACCACATTAAAAAAAAAAAAAAAATGAAGAGATTGTGTCCACCTAAAATTAAGAAATAAATATTTAAAAAATAAAACAAAGGCATTAAAGAAAAAATTTAATGAAAAAACATTAGGTTAGAGCAAGAATACTCAATATGCAGGAAATTAACCCAAATAATTGATCCTGCTTCAGAAACCAGGCTTTGGGCTGGGGATGTGGCTCAAGCGGTAGCGTGCTCGCCTGGCAT